CTCCCTCCTGCCTGTACCAACACCCACCAATCAGCTCCCTCCTGCCTGTACCAACACCCACCAATCAGCTCCCTCCTGCCTGTACCAACGCCCACCAATCAGCTCCCTCCTCCCTGTGCCAGCGCCCACCAATCAGCTCCCTCCTCTTGTACAAGCCCCACCAACCAGCTCCCTCCTGCTTGTGCCAGCCCCACCAATCAGCTGCCCCGTTACAGCCGCGCTCCCCGCTCGCTCTCACGCGCCGTTCCCGCGGGCCTCGGCGGAAGGGGCGGGGTCAGGCGCGCGGTTCCGGCGCGCGGGGGGCGGTTCCGGCGCGCGGGAGGCGGTTCCGGAGGGGGCGGAAGTGGCGGCGCTGCCCCAGTCCAAGATGGCGGCGGCTCGGCCAGGCCCGGCCCCGCGCGCTCCGCACAGGCCCCGCGCGGCCCCGCGCGCGGTGTCGGTGAGCGCGGTGGGGGGGGCGGGAGCGGGGCCAGGGCCGTGACTGTGACTCAGCACCGGGGCCATGACTCGGCACCGCGGGCCCCGACACCCCGCCCGGGCCGGCGAGACCTGCGCGGGGCTGTGCCCGGGGCGGCCGCGCCGCGTGGGTGCGGGCCGGGCCGGGGCTGAGCGGGGACTCGGGCGCTGCCGGGCCGGGCCGGGCCCGCTCTCCCCCTGGTTGCCGGGATTCCCAACCCGGCGCGGGGCGCGGCACCGCCGGGTGTCGGCTCACGCTCCGTATTAGGCTCGGAGCCGCTCCGGGGAGCGATCGGCCCGCCCGCAGAGCCGGGCAGGGGCCGGGCCGGCGCTCCGGCCGCACGGGGCCCAGAGCCTCGCTCTCACCGGGGGCCTGTGCGGGAACACGGCTCCCCTGACACCCCTCTCCTCTCGCTCATCCCCCAGGTCCTGTGGTAGCCCTCGCACCTGAGCAGGGATGGAATCACTGGACACCGAGGTGCGGGCACGCAAGACTCTGGGCACTGTGGAGTACGTGGAGTCGTCGGGCTTCGCGCAGGGGGTGCTGCCCACCAGGAAGGATGTGGTGCAGAACATGCTGTACCTGCTGCAGCCCAAGAGGGCCGGCCAGGCCCAGCGCTCCAAGGAGGACGCAGCACAGCTGCTGGCAGAGCACCTGCAGGAGCACTGGCTGGTCTGCAACCTGCACACCATCGCCACGCAGAACATAAAGAAACTCATCCTCAAAATGTACGAGGAGTTCACCAGGTTGTACCAGACCAGGAAGCAAAGACAGAACCAGAAGTTCTCCGATCGGGCCGACAAATTCAACGAGAGCTCGGAGAAGCTCTTTGATGTGTTCTGCACAGACACACAAATGAGGGATAAACTGGAGGAGTACAGTGGGATAAAAATGACCAGCATCGAGTGGAAGTTTCTGGAAGACCAGAGGAGCGAGAGAAAGATGTACTACGAAGATTTCACAGAGAAGCAGGAGCTGAAGATGATGGAGAGGAGGCAGAAGATCCAGTGTCTGGAGCACTTCAGGAAGCTCGCCAGGGAGGAGAAGGAGGGGAGGAAGGCGAAGGCGAGGGACCGGGGCGAGGAGCAGTCGGACGAAGGCACGAGCGTGGACGAGTCGTACCCCACGGAGGAGGAGAACGGCGGCGCCCCGGCCTTCTCGCTGCGGGGCCGGCGCAAGCGCCGCTGCACCGCCAGCACCACCGCGCCCCTGGAGGGCGAGCACATACGGATGAGCATCCGCAGGGTCAGGCCTGGCTTCTACGAGACTGTGGAGAAGGTGAAGAACTGCTAGCGCCCGCCGCGGGGTGGGCACGGCTGCTGGAGTGCCAGGGGCAATGCACACCGGAGGCAAGTTTGAAACCCCACCACCCACTGGAAGTGATTGTTGTGGATCCCCAAGCCAGAGCTCAGGAACATCCTGCCTCCAGGGAAGAGGGCTGGGATGATGACAACTGCAGCAAGGACTAAACCATGTGGATTTGGAAGGATGAGCTGTTAGCGGCCAGCGATGCCGAGGCTCAAACGTGGCCGATGATCCAAGGTTACGTAGCGTATAAGCCTCTTATTCCAAGGTCCTGTCTGCATCCGTGGAGTTTGGAAGTCTCTCAGCATTTCTGAGCCAGTGGTGGCCTAACAGTACAAACCAGGACTGGGATTTGCTGCAGGGTAATAGCTTGGACTTGCTGCTCCCAGAGAATCCACGCGCTGAGGAGCCCTGGCCCCCGTTGGCTGCAGCAGGGCCAAAGGGACTCGGCCCTTCCCACAGGAGGCGGTGTTCCTGCAAGGAAGGAAGTGGGTTTGGAGCATGTGTCACCCAGCCCTAGAGAGGCACACTGCGCTTTTGGGAGGGCATTGCTCTCCTGCTCAAGGTGGGGGGAGAGATCAGGAGACAGTGGAGTGCTTTGGCTGTAAAAGCATTGGTGATTCTGAATGTTTTATTCTAGATTCTATTTTAATGATGTTTCCTTGATCAGGATAAACCTTCCTGTAACTGGATGAGTTTTATCATGAAGTCCCTAATATAGCATCTGGGGTGTGAATCCTAAATGAAGTGGTAATGTTTTATCTTCGGGGGGAGGGGGGTAACATAGGGGGAAATACAAATTGCATTATTTAGTTTTAAGATGAGAGTAATTTTATAAACTATTATCCTACCTTTTTAGGATGTAGGGAAGAAAAAGCCTTCCCAGGTGTGGGTAGCTGTGCTGTTCTCAGCAGCAGGCACCCGGATCTGGGCTTGCTTTTCCACCCTCAAGGTCATGCAGACCAGCAGTGGGGAGATAGTAGTTTTCCACCCAGAGATTGTTTGAACAAAGCGTGACCCTCTTGCCCACGTACATCCTGAGCAGTGACGTGTCTGTGACTTTTTTAGTTAGAGTTGCTTTACTGGTTTTTAAAGATGAGAGACTTGAACTTCCAGTGAAACCCAGTGCTGGAGATCTCTCTGGTGAGGTTCCCAAACCTTGCCAGACCACACTGAAAATGGAAAACCCCCAAGTCTCTATTTGTCCACAAAAGATTTCTGGTAGAAAAAGCGCAAACTTGCCTGGTTTTAAAATTTACCTTCCAGTGTGAATGTTGGTTTCCCCACTCCAGTATCTCAGCTTTTCCCCATTTCTTTCCTCTCCGTCCTGCACATCATTTACTGACATTAACTCGTGCTCTTTCATTCTTTGGCTTTTGCTCCCTTTAACAATAAATGCATGTACAAATAATTTTGACAGTTCCTTTCCTTTTGATGAATCAGTGCTCGGACTGCTTTAAAGTCCCGTGCCAGAGGAGGAAGGGAACACAGAGCAGCTCTGGTGCCGTGGGCAGGGCTGGGCTGGCAGCCCTGGCTGTGCTGCCCCAGCAGGCCCCGTGCCCCGAGCGCCGCGGTTCCTTCCCGGGGCCTGGCTCCTCAGGCAGGGCCAGGGCCTCGCTCTGTGTCTGAGCAGCTCTCCATGGGAAGATGCTCCAGGACGTGTAGTGCCGTGTATTCACATCACTCTAGAGTTACAGGTTTGATTGCAGCACCCCCAGCCTCCGCTGCCTGACACTTGCAGCCTCCCTCTCTCCTCTGATGTGCTTCACTGACTTCCCCGTGCAAATTATGTCACGTTTAAACTATTTGCCTTCCAGCCCTGAAGTGCTGGACTTGAGCCTCTCACTGGGCCTCTACACCAGCAGCTCTGTTTCAGCAGGGAATATAGCCAAGCTCGGACCTCGCCGAAGTAGAAGTGTTTTAATAACTGCTGTAACCCCCCTTGTATTACAGATATAGCTGACAGTATAAATGCTTGTGTGTAAAGCAAATCCACCGGGGTTGGCTCGGATACGGAACACAGCTGTATAGTGCTTTATGATTTTCAGGGATTCAGGGAATTTAAGGTTGTCAAATCTGACTTCCTGTTTACCACAGGGAATTACATTTCATTCAGAAGCCCCACACTCAGCCTGCTGGTCTCAGTTGAACTGACCTGTCTGACAGAAAGTCGAGCCGAAGGTGTCAGCAATCTGCTGCCTTCCTCATTGCCTACTTAGTGATTTGCCACCTTCACTGTTTCAAAAAATAAAAAGAAGCAGAAACAAGTCCGACCATCCTCTAGGCTGAGATTCTCTTCATGCCATCCTGTACGGGCTGAGCAGTGTGTATCCATTGAAATCATATTTGGGGCTTTTTTAACTGAGTTTGACTGTGGATAGAGCCAAAGCCTGGCTCTGTTTCTGCTGCAACAGGGGGGAAATTTCTAAATCATGTATTCTGATTACTCTTCTTTGGGACCATGGTGCCTTTTTAATCAGGACAGCAAATCTTGTCCCAGGATTCTGTACTTTTGTACGTTAACAGTTGTTGACTTTCCTTTTTGGTGTGTCCCAAATAAATTAATATAACATACCTCTGGGCTTTTGTTTCTTCTTTCTAAAGGGGGAGGAAAGAGGAAACTGAAGCTAAAATAAATCTTCTCTGCTTCAGCTCTCCCTCATGGGCCCTGCAGGAGCAGCTGTGGTGTGTGCTGGGGGACTGTGTGGGGCAGCAGTAGGGAAGCTGCTGGAAATGGGAATCTAGCCTGGAGCAGCCCAAGGTGAAGGGGGGGAGGGATGAAACCTCTGCATGTGTTGGCAGCGTTTCATGTGGGCTCTTGGTGCCTCAGGTGTGGGATTGGCATTGGACACAAAGGCCTGGTCCCACACGTGGGTGTCCCACTGCTGCCTGTTCTGTCGTGGCTCAGGGATTTGGTGTGGGAGATGAGTGAAGGGCAGGGGTGTCCAAGAGACACACAGGGCCATGGTTTGCGCCACAGACCCTCAGCGAGGAAGGGAAGTGGTAAAAGAGGAAATGCTGGAAAGGGCACGTTTGCTTCAACGGCTTTTGCAGGAGGGAACCAAGTGCATCCCAGGGGGATGGACACTTTTGCTGGACACTGAGTCACTAATTTAACCGGGCATTTGAGGAGAAATATCTTCAGCCTTCGCACCCTGAACCTTTCTGCAAGGGGAGCAGTAGAAAGGAGAGGACACCCTGAAACCCCTGCACCCCAGCCTGGGGCCCTGGCAGCCAGGCTGGGCACGTGCCAGCCCCAGGGAGGTTTTACACCCCTCTGCAAGGAAAAGCTGCCTTTTCACAGCCCTTGCAAGTTCCTTAGAGCTGCCCAGGCCAGCCCTAAGTGAGGTCGCACAGAAATCCCCGGCTGATCTCCCAGCACGGATGTGCCACTTCACATGGCACACAGCAGCCACTGCTCTGCCCGGCTCAGAAAGGGGAAGGAACCGAAAAAAACAACCCAAAATGCAAATCACGGCACTACTGAGCAGGCTGGATGTGGAAAACAATGCCTGTGACTCAGCACAGAAAGAGTCACAAAGCTGGAATTTAAACAAGTCCAGGCCCAGCACTGTGGGCACACGGCTCACAGTGTGTTGGGCAGTGCCTGCTCACGAAGGAGGTGGATGGGTACAGGGAAGGGGAAGCACCAGAGCCCTGTCCTACAGCTGCCAGACAGCTTAACACAGGGTGACAGGGACAAATTGTGGCACTCCAGGGAAAAAAGTATTCCCAGAAAGGGTGGAGCAGACACATGAAGCTGTGTCATGACTGTGCTTGTGCTCAGCACCTGTGGCTGGGCTCCAGGGGAGCGCCAGGAGGGGAGATGAACCTCCTGCTTCACCTGACACCCACACTTTGTCCCCTGGAGGAGAGACACAAGGCACAGGCAGTGGTGAAGCTGCCCCCACCACGGCAGAGCTGGGCACCGAAATCCCAGTGTGGGGCACAGGAACCTGGCATGACACCTGCCTGACCCTCATCCCACTGCTCCTGCTGCCTCCATGAAGAGTCCCCTTGAATGCTGGAAGGAGCTGCAGCGAGCATTTCCAGAGCAAACGTGTTAATTCATTAACCAGACACGCTCGAGGGTATTTCCTGCTCTCGCGGAGGGTGTTGTCTTGTTATTCTTCCCGAGTTTCTGGACAGCAGATGCTTCCTCCTGGCACGGCTTCGGAGCCAGCACATACTGCTCCCATCTCTTAAGACTACTAATCCAAGTTCCTCCCCATATTGCCTGGCCCTGCCCCACAGAGTCCCCTCTCACACACTCTCTGGTCCCGCTGAGGTTGGGCTGTGCTGTACAGCAGGAGCCAGCTGGGGTGGGGACAGCTCTGCGCAGCCACAGCAGCCCTGGCAGGGCCCGCTGGGCAGCAGGGACACATCTCCAGAGGGAGGGAGGCTGGAAATTGATCCTGGGGAAATCCAAACGTTTGGGAATCGGGGTAGGAGCTTTTTCTTTGCTGGCCACCTGGTACAGAGCAGCCAGGCCCTCAGACTTCCCTATGCCAGATGCTTTCAAGGACCCAGTTTCTCCTTGGCTCCAAGTTTTTTACAGTTGCATATATCCAGCGAAATCACTTTATTGCCCAGTTTTGGGAAGGGGGTGAGGACAGAACTGCAGGCAGCACCTGCCCAGGTACTCCCTGGGCTCACTCATGGCACTGCCATGGCTCTGGCAGCCTGTTTGCTTGAACGGTACCCCAACAACCTTTAGTGGAGTTTCTTTGTGAGTCAGTGCTTCCTGCTGCCCCGCAGAAGCTGCCTACAACCTCAGGAGACCAGCTGGCCCAGCCTCCAGCAGCATTTTACACCCTTTTGCAGCCGATGTGCACCAAAATCACTCCCATCTCAGCTCCCCCCTCTCTGGAACGCATTAATTATGAAAGCACGGCTGACGGTTCCTCCTGCAGTACCCTCAGGGTGTTCCTATCTTGGGACAAACCACATTGCCCTTCAGAGACGGTGGGAAGGGAAGGGAGGGTGTGGGGGGAGGACAAACTCAAAGACCTGACTATCTTTTGTTGTATCACATCCCTTCTGTTGGGCCGTTACTTCCCACATGCTCCTGCAGTTTCTGGATGAGAGAAGCAGGTGCTGTGGAAAGTCCAGAAATTTTGGGAGACGCCTGGCTGACCACAAGGACGAGAGAGGCGGGACCCCCTCTCCGCGGCCCCCCCGGGTGGTCCTTGCGGGGCAAAGCTGAGCCGCCCTCACGCCGGCTGTGGGTGCCCAGCGCTGGGAGCAGCCTGACCCCAACCCGCTCCTGGGGGGCACAGGGGGCACAGGGACAGGCCCGGCGGCGCCTCGGGGCCAGCGCAGCCGGAGGGACGGCTCAGGTTACCGGCCTCGTACAGAAATGAGTGTGGCCGCGGGAGCCCGGGGAGGTTTGTGCTGTCCACAGCCGAGCTGTATTAAAGGGGAGCGGCGGGGCGGCCGCAGGGCTCCTCCGGCAGCCTCCCCTCGGCATGGCAGGGCCGGGGGGCGACGGGGACCTGCGGCGCCTGCTCAAGCTGCACCGCACCGAGATTGCCATGGCCGTGGACGACGTGTTCCCGCTGCTGCACGGCCTGGCTGACCACGACGTGGTCCCCGAGCATATCTTCAAGGTGAGGCGGCGGGGCGGGAGGAGATGGGCATGCCGTGGGGGCCGGGACCGGCTGGCAGCGCCGGGACGCGTGCCAGCGGGCCGTGGTGGCACTGGCAGGAGACGCTGAGCCGGGCGGAGCGGGAGGGCTCCCAGCGCGCTTTCCATGCACTGCTCACCTGGCTGCTGGGCCGCGACGCCGCCGCCCTGCACGACTTCTGGGCCGTGCTCTTCAAGGACTACAACCTGGAGCGCTACGCCCGGCTCCGGCCCGTCCGCGGCGCCTTCCCCAGAGGTACTGGGGGGTCAGGAGGGACCGGCATCCCGGGTCCTGCCAGTGGGCATGGGTGGCACTCCGGGCTGGCCGCGCCTGTCCCAGGCCCTGTCCCTCTTTCAGAGGCGGAGCTGGGTCGGCAGCGCCGTGGCAGGCGTCTGTCCCCCAGCCCCACGGCACCGGCCCCACACAGACCCCAAGGCAAGAGGAAAGCCCCTGAGGAGCGGGACAAGGCCCGGGCAGCACAGCCCTCCCCACGGCACACCACCAGTCCTGGTATGGAGACCCCGAGTGGGATGGAGATGGGCTGGGGTGCTGGGGGGTGCCCGAGGTGTAGCGGGGTGTTGTGACCCCTGACACCCACCCTCACAACGCTGCAGGGCCCCTGGCAAAGGCAAAGACTGTGAAGAAGCCGGAGGGCGCAGATACCCCCCGCACCCCTCGTGCCGGCGGTGAGTGCAAACCCCCCCAGGGCAGCATCTGCCTGTGCCCCTTGTTTGCCCACAGCCATGGGCAGGGGGCTGCTCACCCCACTGAGCCCCCCTCAACCGCAGCCCTCCAGGCAGTGGCTGCCTCAGTGCAGAGAGCAGTGGCTGTGGCAGGTGGTGAGGTGCCCATCAGCCGTGGGGCCATCGAGGGCATCCTCATCAAACACGTGCTGGAGCCAGGTAGGTGCCGCCTAGCTCAGCCCAGTCACCTCCTGCCCAGTTAAGCTCCCAAATTCAGGAGCCACCCTCATACATGAGAGGAAGCTGGAGCTGCCTCTGGCCCCTCTTCCAGGCAGCTCCAGGACAGGCAGCAGAGCTGGGAATGAGCCATACACCCAGGCTGCCCGCGACGAGCCGGGGGCCAGGAGCAGAAGCCACAGCCTGAAGCCCCCTGCCCAGCCCAAAGCATCCCAAAGTGTACAGATGCCCACCCACCTGTTTTCAACCTCCCTTGTGCAGCTGCCAGGGCTGTGGCAGGGGGTTGTCCTTGCATGGCATCATGGCCATGGCCTGGGAGTGTCCCCCTGTGCCAGCACTGCCTTTCCAACCCTTTTCTTTTCTCACCCGTAGAACAGGGAACCCCAGCTGCACCCCCAGGGCCAGCTGCCAGTGCCCACCATGTACAGCCAGCAGCCTGTGCCCCTCCAGGTGAGCCCTGGGTGTGACACCCATTGCACCCCCGAGAGGAACTGTTTGGGTGTCCCTGGCATGTCCACTGGCCTGGCCTAGCACAGGAAATCCAGGGATCAACTACTGGGGGGGTCACCAGGCTACAACGCCCAAGAGACAGGCAATTCACACCCTGAAGGGGTTGGTGTGTTTGGTGCAGGGTGAGTGATGCAGGGGGAGAGGGTGAGGGGGACGACAGACACTACCACAGCCATGGTTTCAGCCTGGTGGGTGGTGGTGACCTCCTGCCCACTCCCCCGGGGCAGGAGAATGAGGACGAGTGCGCAGCCTGCGGTGACGGCGGTGAGCTGATCTGCTGTGATGGCTGCCCCAGGGCCTTCCACCTCACCTGCCTGGTGCCCCCGCTGCCCCGCGTCCCCAGGTGAGTCCCAGGGTGCCATGGGGACCCCAGAGCACCCTCGCTGTCTCTCACTGCCCTCTCCGACTGTGCAGTGGGACATGGCGATGTGGCTCCTGTGTGACGAGTGTGGCTGAGCCGGGGCAGCTGCTGGAGGCAGATGTGGCTGTGCAGCGACCCCCCGAGATCGCCGGGGAGGAGGGATGTGATACCCGGCTGGGTGGAGCTGATGGGAGTGTCTGTAGCCGCTGCTTCACCCGGATCCCCACCCCCCAACACTGTCCTGCTCCCAGTGCAGAGCCCAGGTGAGCCCCCATCATCCCCACATCCCAGCCTTATTCCCCCCCTGGAGGGGTCTGCCCTGACAGTCTGTGTCACCCCTGAGGGTGTAGGGGGCTGCTGCTCTGCACATCCTGCGCACGCACCCCGGACATGGGTGGCCTGGACACCACCACAGCAGCTGGTGACCATCCGGCCCAGGCAGCCAAGGTCAGTACAACTCGAGCCAGGGAACGCTGGGAGAGCGGGTACAGGGAGCGGTGAGGGGGAGGAATGGTGCTTCAGGCTGGGACAGGGACAGGCCAACACTAGGTGGAGGCAAGTTAGTGCTCCGGAAACATGAGCTGAGGCTGCACCAGGTGAGGGACTGAACCTGGTTACTAACCCTGACCAAAAGGAGTGTGAGCTGAGGGCAGGCAGGGGCAGGACATCTCTCCTCCCACAGGCAGAGGAAGGAGCCCTCAGCAGTGACCCTGTGCTGAGCCGGGATGAGCTCGATGCGCTTCTGGGTGAGGTAAGACTCTGTGGGACACCAACAGGCAGAGTCCATCCAAAGGGGACTGTGTCTTCAGTGTGACCCACAGGGTAACAGTGGGCTGTGGGTCAGGGAGGGTGTGCCTGGAGACACCAAGGGGGCAGGACATGGGATGGAAAGCAAAAATAAACCCCCGGGGCTGTCCCACAGGGCACGTGGGATGGGATCTTGCAGTGGGCATTCCAGAGCATGGCACGGCCCCTGGCAGACACACACGGGCTCCTCGCCTAGTGCACACTATCCCAATGGCACGACCGACATCACAGGAGTGCAGAAGCAGCCCCTGGGGCAGCTGTGCCACAGGAGGTACACAGGCATCACGGCACGTCCAGAAACCCGACAGCATAAATAACAGAGGCTCACAGCACAACCCAAACCACTCGGACACTGCCAAACAACAAATCACAGCAAACGACCCTCAACAGAACACAGGCTGAGTGACCACAACTGTATGAAATACAAAATCAAAAAATTATAATAAAATAGAAAAAAAAATAAAATATAAGAAAAAAACACCTACATTTCCAAA